CGCCCATCCAGGTCCGGAGTGATAGGGGGCCCGTCGAGGTTGTCGAAATAGCCGACCATGGGCGTGACCTTCGTTCGTCTGACTGCGGCCGTGCTCGAGAAGAGAAATGGGCATCGGTCGCCGTCGCCACCGATCGTCGCGGTCGCGATGTTCGCGATGACGGGGCCGCGGTCGACGGGCGCGCGCGCGCTGACGCATGGCGCCTCGCGGGGGCCCCGTCTACGCGCGGGGATGACGTGTGTCCCTGTCGGCGGCGTCGCTGCGCAATCGAATCGAATCCACGTGGCCAGCTCACTTCTCGCGCGCGTGCCCGGGGGCGTCTGCGCGCCGGCAAGTTCCTCAGCAGCGCCAGGATGGAAAAGCATGCCCCAGACCTCCAGGCCCTCGACGGCGTGAAAACTGAAGCTGGCTCCCTCATTGAAGGAACCCGAAGCTAGACGTGGGGGCATCGAGAACGATGGCTTCTGTTCTGATCGAAAATATTCAGCGTCCTCGATGGAACTGGTATCGCGAGGGTCACCGGCCACGAGGTCTGAGAGATTGGCGCCGCTAACGTCGCTGGTCAGGAGGTCCCCCTCTAACTTGCTGAAGTCGGCGAGGTCGTTGCGATGGCGGGTGGGCTGAGGGGGCCCAGTTCGCGATGGCTGCCGCTGTCTCTCAGGCCGCGCCGAAACCCAAGGATAACAACCAGGACCGCTAAGATTCACAGGTGGCAGCGGGAATCTCTGAGCTGTCTGACTCGATGATGAATCGGGAGCCGAGGTTCGCGGAGGAACGCTGAACGCGTCGATCGTGAGCCACGAAGATTCGTCTGATATCTTCGTCCTGAACCTCTGGGAAGGCTTGCCACATTCGGCACCCCAGATAAAATAGGGTCTGTGCCGCAGGTCCAAGAGTGCGCACGAAGAGGTCGATGTCCAACAGCTGAGGGATCTGAGACGAGGCCGACTGAGCTTCCGAGGCTCGCGCTGGCGCCGGCTGTCCTGACGCAGAGGAAGATGAAGCAATGCCGTCCGTCTCGATGGTGATCGGGGCCTTCAGAAGATCGTCCACTTCAGCGGAGAAGATGCGCTCAGCTGCGGCATGGGTCTCCGAGGAGGTGATCAGAGGGCCGGCATCAACGTGCTCGGGAGCCTGACTCGGCTCGCTGGCAGCTCCACGGAAACCTGCATGAATCAATCCGTCAGCAAAGACAATGGTCTATGGATTAGAGCCGCGCCTCCAAATATCTGATTCAATCTAGTAGCCCTTGCCGTTCTTACGTCGTTTCTTCCCGCCGCGAGGGTCTGACCAACCCTATTTGCTTTGCTGCCTGTCTTGCCTTTGTCGTTGTGACTGAGACTGCCAAAACGACCACAGCCCGTCGAGGTGGAACGACCAACACAGCCACCTTGTTTACCCTTTGTTGGATGACTCTCCCGTGCTGCAGCCACGGGACGTACCCTTGCAGTGGCCTCTGCTGCCGGGGATAACGTCGGAGGGGGGAGTCTCGAGATCGACTGTAGTTCATGCTGAAGATGCTGCTGCTGGTCGTGATGCAAGAGCGCTGCCTGATGCTGGAACGGTGCCTTCTTTCCGTGGCTGGTCGATGCAATGCTGATCATCACCGGTCCACCCGTCATCGTGCCAAGAATCATCACACCAGCCGTCATCGGACCAGGTGTCACCGAACCACGTACTGTGACCCCAAAAACCATCATACCGAGAATCATCATGCCAGCCGTCGTCGTCCCAGCCGTCGCCGTACCATGTGCCGTCCTCCCAAGGTCGGTGCCGTCGGCCAGATCGCCAGCCGACCGTGGGGATCTGTGCCGGGCTTTGGCGCTTGGCCAGGCGCATGAAGTGATCCTTGAGGTCATCGTGGCGGTCGAAGTCTCCATTGACCAAAAGCATGATGTGATCTACCTTGGACTTCTCGGGACCGAAATGCTTGAGAAGCTGATGAGTGAGGGCAACACATTTACGACTGAAATTGCAAAGGCAATTCGTTTCCTCGTATGTGTGCTCGGACTCCGACATGTACTCGAGGAGGGGAAGCCTGCCGCGTCTGCGGTCCTAGAACTGATCGGTCATGCCCGTCGCAGTCTGATGAATGTCACCGCCGTATCTGCCAGAAAGGGTCAGCATCAGAACCTGAATGCCACTCTCGGTGGCTGGGAGCAGGCATTTGCCGAGAACGTAGAACTGCTGCGGCTCTCAAGGGTAGGCCAGCGCCGCGTCGCCTTGGAGGTTGATTCCTGCCTGGGTCGCGATCTGGAGTCCAGGAGCCATCTTGTAAGACCGACCCTGGAGTCAGCCCGCTACTGCTGTTCCAACTTGATCTGCATTGCAATCAGGCGGGTCATCCGATACCACATTCTAAGACTCCCCAAGTATCGTCGGAAATGATAGTGCATAAGGGTCGGTCTCCACCCTGGCGGTGCGCATTTCGTGTACGCATCTAGCGAGGCCGGTGTGCTCGGACATGAAATGTTCGGTCTCGATCTGCGAGTGGAAGTTCGTGTCCTATGCGGGCGTGTCGCCGTCCTGGTGATTCTGAAACAATCGTTGCTGTCTCGGGGCGGGAAGAAATGATGCCGCCAGCAGGTAGCGGGTGGAGCTGGATGAACCAGCTCCGCTACCAAACTCGACCCCGCTCTGTGAATTGTATATATACATATATATATGTATCCTCTCTCTCTCTCTCTCTCTCTCTCTCTCTCTACTTGCTCCAAACTACATTGTGGGGGGAGGCCGACAATGTTACACATACCTATACGACCACCCTTCGGGTGAGAAGGAGGTTGTGGGGGGGAAGGGGGGGGAACCAACATCTGACTCAATCGATCTCACTATCGATCTCACTCAACGGGACACCACGTGACACCTCGGGACACATCGGGATACTTGTCGATCTCACTATCGATCTCACTATCAATCTCACTCAACGGGACACCACGGGCCACCACGGGCCATCTTGGGACAACTCGGGACACCTCTCGATCTCACTATCGGTCTCACTATCGATCTCACGATCGATCTCACTCAACGGGACACCATCTGACACCACTGGCAACCACGGGAAACCTCGGGACACCACGTCGATCTCAATATCGATCTCACTACAAATCTCACTATCGATCTCACTGAGCGGGACACAGCGAGACACCACGGGACACCTGTCGATCTCACGATTGATCTCACTATCGATCTCACTTTTTGGGACATCATAGGACACCTCGGGACACCTCGGGGCACCACATCGATCTCAAAATCGATCTCACTATCGATCTCACTCAACGGGACACCACGGGACACCACGGGACACCTGTCGATCTCACGATTGATCTCACTATCGATCTCACTTGTTTGGACACCACGGGACACATCGGGGCACCACATCGATCTCAATATCGATCTCACTATCGATCTTACTATCCATCTCACTCAACGGGACACCACGGGACACCACGGGACACCAGGAGACGCCGCGGGACACCGCGAGCCACCGCCGGACGGACGGACGGGCGGGCGGTGGAGAATCATTTGTTCTGACTTCGCCCTAGCATCGGCGGACACCACGGGACACCACGGGGCACCGCGGGACACCGCGAGCCACCCCCGGACGGACGGACGGGCGAGCGGGGGAGAATCATTTGTCTTGACTTCGCCCTAACAACGGCGAGTTCATTCCTCTCGCGCGCCCACGCAGCTTCGCCTCGACCGCACGCACGACACGAACGAAACGAAACGATTTCCCGGTTGGGGGTCTCCGTTTCACTGCGATCTCACCCCCCGACCTCCGATTCTAACACCTCCTCCTCCTCCTCCTCCTCCTTCTCCTCCTCCTCTGCTTGGACCGCCCAGTCCCTCGGTCGCACGCGCTGAGCACTCCACCGCCACCCAGGCTCGGAGCAAAGCGAGGTGAGAGATCACGGCAACTCGAAGTCTTTGCCCTGGAGCCAATGATCGGAGCTGCGCCCAGCCGTGGCGACGAGGGGGGCCTCCGAAGGCCAACCATCGTTGTCTCAACTGGCCCTTCTCTGACTGGCTCACCCTCCTGCGGGCCTCCTCCACCTCCTCCTCCTCCTCCTCCTCCTCCTCCTCCTCCTCCTCCTCCTCCTCTGGAAAACAAAGGGCCCTGGCCTGCTGGGGCCTTCCGTGCGCTTACCTTGCTTGGGTCTGCCGCTGGGGCGCGATACGGCCACCAGGGGCACTGAAGGGCTGGGACGGCACGATGCAAGGGTAGGACGACTCGCCAGATGGCTCCTCTGGTGCATGCATCCCTGCAGTCGGGCGACGTACCACAACAACCATAACAACAACAACAACAACAACAACAACAACAACAACAACAACAACAACAACAACAACCAGAAACAAATTGCATCATCAACAACAACAGCAGCAACACAAACAACAACACCAACAACAACAACACCACCAACAACAGCACCGACAACAGCAACAACACCACCAACACCAGCACCAACAACAACAGCAACAACAACAGCACCCTCATCAACAACAACGACAACAACAGCAGCAACAACAATAACAAAATTAACAACACCACCAACAACAACACCAACAACACCAACAACAACAACAACAAAACCACCAGCCACAACAACCTACTCTGGAGGTCTCCCCGGGCCACCAGAGACCTCCGAAGGCACAAGAAACATAGGAAGCACAGCATGAACATAAACTCTCGGGGGGCCGAACGGATTTCTTGGCTCGGCGCCGAGCCCCCTCCCTGGCGCGCGAAGCGCGCCAAGGGCGGCGCTACAAGCGCTGCCAAAGTGGCCCAAGCGCGGACCCGGGAAATCCGCGCGCTGCTCCGAAAATTTGCGTCTGCTGGCGCTCCTCCTCGGACAGAACGAAATTCAAACGCTCAAGATCAGCCCTCGATCAACCCTCGATCCGCAAACGATGAACCCTCACATTAAAACGCCGACGTCCAGCTCAAATCCTGGATCCTCGAGCATCAGCCCTCGATCAACGACGATCCGCGCCACCACGAGGAGCTGCAGCATGGCGTTGGGGCACACGCCCTCCTGCACCCAACTGCCGTGCGGCAGGCAGCTGCAACTGGTGACGTTGCCCTGGCGCCAACCCACGGTGGTGCACTCGTAGGTGTCGCACTGCGACGCGAGGTCCAAACAACGGGTCCTCGTCATGTCCCTGGGCAAGGCAGAAGGCAACATCGAGAACACGAAATGTCGGGGGCACTTGTCGATATCAATGTTCCGTGCCTGGGGGTGTTTCGGGTGTCCGTCCCTCTGGGGGCTCCCTACAGACTCAGACTCCTAGGAACAGCTCATTAACGTCAGCTCATAGACTGAACGGACAACTGAATTTAACTCATTCAGCACAGCAGTTGTGTGGTGTGTGTGTGTGTCGGACCAGGAGGTGTGAGTATATTGTGCAGTGCTACGAGGGTGGTGAAATGCTGCTGTCAGCTTTGGGCCGTGGTGCGTGCGTGCGTGCGTGGGTGGGGGGGGTGGGAGTGCGGGGGATGTGTGTGTGGGTGTGGGTGTGGAGGTGGGTTTTGGGTGTGGGTGTGGATGCGTGTGTGGATGAGGGTGTGTGGGTGAATGGGTGCGTGGTCGTGTGCCACACACCTTCCCACTACCCCCACACAACCACAAAAGCAACCCCGCGAAAACATGCAAAACGGACCAAAACCCACGCATGCGGAATGCCACTTCCTCCATGAAACTCCCAAAGCGCACCACGTTCGGCCATGCTGGCCGCAGCATTCGGCAATCGCGAAACGGGCAAAGACACGGCTGGTCGGCGACCAACCTTGCGGGAAGCCATTGCGACTTGCAGCGCCGGTTCCAGGAGCTGCACAAACTAGTATCGAAGGCGGCGCTTGTTGCCGATGCTGCCGACAACATGAACTACGCCCTGGTCTCCGCTCTGCGGACGCCGGGCAAGTCTATGAAGCGCTCGACCCGAAGTGCGTGAAAGAATCCACGGATGCCATCTTCGCTGCAGCGGGGTACCAGAACAGCCCAGGCAGGACCGTCCCAATTATGACAACACCATGTTTTGCAACACGGTCGGGCGGCAACGTCTTACAGCGGCATTATGACCGCAGTTTGGGATTTCAACGTTGGTTCTCTGCTTCGATGCACAGTGCTGTCTCAGAGAATACCGTATCAGCACCATGTTCGGGGGGCCTGTTTCTGGAATCGGCCTGGACGTTTGCTCGGCCAAGTTGGAGCGCGAATTTGACAAACACCTTTGGCCGCGATTGCGCCAGGCTTCGGGTTGTGGCTGACGGGCCCGCGCCGTTGCCGCATCCTTGCCGCCAGATTAGCCGACGATGTGATATTTCTCAATGTTGGTTCTGCAGACGGTTCTTATGGGATTGCTTCAAGAGTTGTAGTCGTCCTCGTTGAATATCGAGGCCAACACCGAGGTATTCGCCAATGATGAATGTGTGACCGCGAACTTCCTAGATGGTGGATTCACGTATCCTTTACAAATGGTTCGTCTGCCCCCCGCCCCCACACATCGTGCACGACCCGGCCTGCTGGGCCTGTGACGTAAAACTGCGGGTCAAGCAGAGGCCCTGATATGACGGCAAGCTGACAAAAATCAAGGACAATCTGCAGCGGGATCTCGAAGGCCGCTGTGCATGAACAAAACAGCTCAAGCTTGCTACGGCTTCATTCGTGCTGTCGCGTTGCATGTATATTTTTCAAGTGCACATGATCGTGTCCGTCTAGATGTTATCAGAGCTGCCTGACACCGAATCCCAATCCACGATGACAGATTCCATACTGCGGTAGCAGCCTGTAGCATGATGTCAAAGTTTCCACAACGTCTACCAAACATATTATTCGGAGACGTAGCCCTGGAATTGCATTCGATGAGAGCGGACAGCACTCGCCAAGCCATCCTGGCTTCCATACGCCTGGCCGTGCGGCGAGAAGCAAACATCGTTCAACCTTACTGGCGAGAAGTCTTGGCAAGAGAGCTGGCTTGCGACGTGTTTCTTCTTCTGTGGACTTTCTTGACGTCGCTGTGGAAAGTTGTGCGATAGCGACCGCGTTCACCCTGTTTCGTTCCCTTCCCCTGTCGCCTGGACGGGCAGACAGCAACAGTGGCGTCCATAGCTGCTTCGGCCCATATGCATCTGGCCCCAGTTCGTGCGGAGCGCGGGCCCGCAGCAGCATGTGTTCAAAATACTTGGTGCTCCATTGTGAGTCAGACCCGACACGAAGTGGCAGAATCATGATTGCGCATTTATTTTCGAAAATTATAGTGCCGCTCGTGCTTACGACATCAGCTATGCACAAGAGAGGCGGGTGTGGGTGTGCGTGTGCGTGTGTGTGTGTGTGTGTGTGTGTGTGGGTTGGTTTGGGTTGGTGTGTGGGTGTGGCTGTTAGGGTGTGTGGGTGAGTGAGTCGGTGTGGGTGTGGCTGTGTGTGTGGCTGTGTGGGTGTCTGGGTGTGGGTATGGGTTTGTGTGCATGCGTGTGCGTGGATGGGTTGCTGGCAGTTGTAGGCCTGGCGCTGAGGACATATTGCTGGCAGTCTTAGGCCACCGGGAAGAGGTTAGGTTGCTGGCTTTTGTTTCGGCCACGGAGTGAGGATATGTTGCCAGTAGTTTTCTTTCCAGGAGGTGATGGTACGTGGCTAGCAGAGTTGAGCCAGGGGGGCGAGATGACGTTAGCTGGTAAGTCTAGACAAGGCCAGTAATGATTTGTTGCTGCCAGTTGTAGGTCAGAGGCATGAATGTATGTTACTTGAACGTGCGCGCCAAGGCGGTAAGGATATGTTGCTGGTGCGTTTAATTAGATGCTTGCACTTGTATGCCAGGGGGGATGGCTCCTCGAACCGAACTTACACAACTATGAATGCATGCTACTACACGCAGGAGCCCATATCGTTCGTGTCCGAGCTACCTTACAGTATTCAGTCTATATCGTATTGCATCACAATACAATGCCTCGCAGCAGAGAGGTAATGCAGCAAACACTCTGTACACCATATCATATCAGCAGATACTTGATGCAGCAATTGACTCGTCATCCCCCTCGGTTCTTGCGCGGAAGAGTTGCGCGCGCGCGCTCCGCCACGGGAGGGGGCACATGTTGCTTACAATTCGAGTTCGGGGTGGATGCTTTGCTGGGATGGTTTTGAGCCTGGGCAGTGAGACATTGTACTGGCAAGGAGCTCGTGACCTCGAGCTGCCGAAAGCTGTTGTTCTCGGTGCTGGAACATCTGGGGCGACGGCCAACGAACGCGTGCGCTCGAGCCCAGAGGTCTGGACCCCATCAGTGTTCGATGTCGGCAAAAACAGACCCAGCCCCGCGAGATTCGGGGATGGAAAGAACCCCCCCTCTAATAGAATGTGGTTTAGCGAAGACGACCTCGGACCCAGACATGCCGGGCGCAAGCCTGGAAGATGACGGCCGCGGCGCCCTTCCGAGAACCGAGGACGGACAATACACGGATCGACGCGTCAGGGTAGGGGTCCTGTCTACCCCCGAGATTCTGCCGAATCGAGATCCCGAAGATAGGGGACCACATGCGAACCCTACCCCTACCCCCCACGAGTTCTGCGGGGGAGGGTGGGGTTCACGTCGCTCGGAGCTCCCGAGTGAAGTGAACCCTACCCGGTACCCTCCACCTCAGAAATCGTGGGGGGTAGGGGCAGGGTTCGCACGTGGCCCCCTAGAAGATGTGTTCGCCCTTTGGCGCGCGGCTGGTCGGAAAGGGGGGGCGCGGGTGTCCGGGCACCTCGGCCAGACCTCCAGAGATCTCCAGGGACTTCGCGGGGGCCTCCCACCCCGTGTTTTATGTGTCATCCCCGCCTGAGGGGGTGGGCACCGTCTCTGAACACCTCCCTGTTGTAGCCCTCGAAATTCCCGTCGTACTCCTCGGAACAAGGCGAGGTGAGACAGTGGCATCTCACAAAGGGGCCCACGGACCCCTCCCGGGGTCCACACGCACAGGGCTTCCGAGCTGCGTCCTGCAGTGGCGACGAGGGGGCCAACCGAAGGCCAACTACCGAGATCTCGACTCGACCTCCCCTCAGATCGGGAACTGCAGAAAAATGCAGCATCGCAGAACAACGCCCCCAGAGCCCCGGACCTGCTCTTTCTGCACCAGTTTCCGAAACGGCTCCACCTGACAGGGCCCCGGGGCACGAAACTGGGCGGACATGCCCGTCCTGAGGCGACTGCAGCTCCAGGGATCTCGACCTCCTCCGAGCTCCTGTGACCTGACGAGGTTGTGCTCGCCGTCGAAGAGCTGCGGGGGCTCGGAGTCCTGCTCGAACCGAGAGGCCGACAGCCCGAGCGTCAGCGCGGTCCAGCCGAGGAATCCGCAGGGCCGCCCCCCCCTGGGGCCCAGTCGTCGCCGTCGTCGCCGTCGCCGCCGTCGTCGTCGTCGTCGTCGTCGTCGCCGTCGCCGTCGTCGCCGTCGTCGTCGTCGTCGTCGTCGTCGTCGTCGTCGTCGGGCGCCCCTGTGCGAAACCTCTGAGTAGTTACTCGACAGTGGACGCCTCGCTGCCCATCGGCCGTGGGCGGCCTTCGGCAGCCTGCCGACGGCCCTCGGCGGGCTTCGGCGATGCCCTGACGCTCTTCGGCGGCTCTTGGAGGTCTTCTCACGGCTGTGGATGCCAGGACAATCGACCTCTAGTAGGCCTATCCTTGACTGATAGATGTGTTTACCATGTGCTACAAATATCCGAAAAGTGCTAAACATGCTTTATACATCTTTAGACCTGCTTGAAACATGTGGTAGGCATTTGGGAAGTATTTCGCAGCACGCTTACTCTCCTTCAGCCGACTTCCAGAATCTCACGCTCTTCGACGGTCTTCGGCGGCCTTCTGGCGTCAAATGCCGTTAAGCGAGGCAAGCACAACCTGCAACTCGGGCCAGCCGAGATCAAGCACACGGAACGTCGCAACAGGCGCCCGAATAGACACCCCTGAAAACTCCAGACCGCCCCATCTCTGCTCACAGCCGCGCAACCTCCGTGCCCCAAGGGGGCCCGAGAGGGCTTCTGAAATGTCCAAGAAACTCCCCAAGACGACAATGAGGGGCCCGATTCGGCCCAACGGAATTCCTAAACGGCGCATAATTCCGCAAGGCTGACAAACATGCCCCGAACGACAAAGATCCAAAATTTGCTGATGTGTGTGCCGATGGGCCACTCTGTAATTCAACTACCCTCGGAAATAGCACGGAAACCACGGGCATCCACTTGAACTCCATCTACATCAAGTGCTCTGGTCAAAAATTGCTGGGCAATCCTGAGGTAGCGCCGGCGGCAGGAACCGAAGGCCGCGATATACCAAGACAATAAGAAATCTCAACCTGCGGACCCAGCTTGCTGCGCCGTCTGCGCTCTGAGACCATACCTGGCTGAATCCTGTCTTATTCTCGCTCAGCATGTCCGCACTCATGATACTCAGCCTGTCCAGGAGCGAGGGTTCAGTATCCTTATCGTACTGAGCGATGAAAGTCGTTCTTTGCAGGGCTTTCCGCCGCAGACGCCGATGACACCGGTCACCAATGATCAGGATGGGTGGGTAACCAAAAAGCACTACCGCCCACGCCTGGGCAACAATAGTCGGTTAAGCACAGTGTAGCGCAAGCGAATATTGCACATATGTGATGTATAAATATTTACACACATATACATGTGCACCTGGATATATAAAGGTATTTGTATATTGTTATATATGTTTACATGTGTATACGAAACTCGTTAGCACGCGTTGGCACCAAACGTTTGTTTTAACACCAAACGCTGGTGCAATGTATGTTGGTGACAACTGTCGTGCAGCATGCGCTGCGAAACCCCTTGTGGTGCAATCGACGTGGTGTAATGTACGAGGAACGATTTATGTTGGACAATCATTGTGGGATTACCTACGTGGCGCAACCTATGTGATGCGACGGATGCAATACAATGTATGTTGTGCAATCAGCGTTGTGCAATATACGCGGTGCAAAAGATGTGGGGCATTTTTTTTGAAACGAAATCTGTGTGGTCCAGTCGTCGTGGCGCAACCGATGTGGTACAATATCGGTGTTGTGTGTAATTCATTTCGGAAAAGATTAGAGGTGTAAGTGCCATGGCTCGCGCGATCATCCCACCCACCTCCCGCAACTTGGTTAGCAAAACCCACCCAACTCAAATTGCGACGAATGCGTGGTGTACGTTGGCGCATCGGCGCGGCCGCGCTAACCCGCGCACGCTCGTGCGCACAACTGCCAGCTGGTTTGAAGCGACAGACGCCGCCACGGTGGTGTTCATTTCCGAACATATCCCACTGGGCAAATCAATGTGAAATGGTGACCTGGACGGGCGAGGTATCACGTCGACGTCGACAATGGTAAACACGGTGTTGATCATACCGATGATGGTAAGGACGCTTGCTATGACAGCGGCAGCGACAACAACAACAACACCGATGCTGATTACACCGGTGACGATGGTACTGTTCTCGCGCCGTTGATGAATATGGCAGGAATTGGGCATGCGCGCGCGGCCGACGCGCGCGAATGACCCGCATGGAGTTTGTCGACAGGGATCGCCCCCCCCCCCCCCCCCCAAACACAATCGCAAGGGCGTTCCAATAACTTCGGCACGCGGCGCGAACAGGCCCGTTTGGTCGGATGTGGTGAACGTGCTGAAGAAAAAACGATGGTTCCCCTAAGCATTCGCAAGGGCGCGCGCTGACATTTTTCCGACAACTGATGATGCAAAACGATAGTGCGTTCGGAAACGCTTCGGGCCACTCAGCGTGAAAAGCCATGTGGGACCTTGGGTCTTGAATGATTTCGGCACGCGCGTGCGACGATGCACGGGCGTGCAATTCGTGACATGTTGCACGCAAGGGCGTTCGAACGATCTCGATACGCTCGCGCGAAAGGCACGTTTCGTAGAATTGGATTACAATGTAGAACAATTCAGAACTCGCAGGAACGCGGGAGTTTGCTTCTTGGATGAAGAGCCCTGTAGCGAAACCGTTTGTTGCTGTTGTGTTTCGGGGCACTTGATTCGGAACCTTAAAACACCTACGGTTGTGGATGGACACCTGCTTACGCGCGCAATGACGCGCGCGTGCGCGCGTCGTCCCAAGCGTTCCAAAACACTCCTGAACGCGCGCAGGACATGTTTTGCCGGGGGACGACAGCGAGAAACGATAAGGGACTGCCTGGGCCGGTACGACGATAACCGATATGGGCGATGGGCGATAAACGATGGGGCGATAAGCGATATGGGCGAAGGGGCACAATCGCACGTGAACTGCGATGAAAAAAGGTTGGCCATTAGATCCGGCGCACGCGTCGGGGTGGGGGAGTGCAACTTCGAATGCCCTTCTAGAAAAGGCACTTGTATGTTTGCAATCGATGTGATTCAACCGATGCGTCGCAATGTTTATGGCGCAACGAGTGTAGCGCAACGCGCGTTGCGCAGTCTTTGCGCAGCAGTGCGCAGCAGAAGACGTGGTGACATCGATGTGTTACCACGAATTATCCAACAAACTACGGTTGCCAATTCAACCGTTCGAAAAATCATCCCGCCCGACCACCCGCACATTGCTCGCAAACCCCATGCGGCGGCGATTGCGATGAATGCGCGGCGCGTGCTGGTGCATCCACGCGGCCGCGCTAGCCCGCGCATGCTCTCGCGCGCAGCGGCCGCATAGTTCGGGGCGGCCGACGCGGCCGCGGCGGCGCAGACAGCTGGGCACTTGCCAGTTGGCTCTTCACTGCGTGTCGGCGACTTGGGCGGGTCCAGTTCCACGGCGACGCCAGTGATGGTAGACGCGATGAGAATTGTGGCGACGGCGGCAACGATGATGACGATGACGACGGCGCGGCCGACGATGCCGCCGATGCTGATCGCGACTTCGACGATGCCGTTCTCACGCCAGCCATGCATGTTCGGGAAAGGGTTGGACATGCGCGCGCGGCCGACGCGCGCGATCGGGGCCCGCGACCTCGCCGTCCCCCCCGCGACCCGGCCCGCGACCCGCCCGCGACACCCCCGCGACAAACCCGCGACCCACCCCGCCCACCGCCCGCGACCCACCCGCGACTCATCCCGCGACCCGCCCCGCGACCCACCCACGAACCACCCGCGACCCACCCGCGAACCGCCCGCGACCCACGTGCGACCCAGCCCGCGACCCACCCGCGACCCGCCCGCGACCCACCCGCGAACCCGCCCGCGACCAACGCGCATTGCTTTAACGAGCAAATCGGCGCCTGCGGCGGGGTTTCTTCAGATCTTCGTAGACTGCCAACAACCTCGCCGCCCTCTTATTCTCAACCGCAACTGCAGGGTGCTACGTGTGTGTATATATATATATAAAGATAGATAGGGCGAAGGAGAGAAAGAGAGAGAGAGAGAGAGCGAGAGAGCGAGGGAGAGAGAGAGAGAGAGAGAGACATATAAAAAGAGAGAGAGAGAGAGGAAACAAAAATGAGTGAGAACGAGGAGAAAATCAACAACAAAACATGTGCGAGATAAATACGTATATCGATGTCTATAAATCATACATGCAGTAACGATGTGTGATGTATCCTAAGTGAACAACGTAGGTGGTCCAATCCCAGTTGTGCAATATATGTTGCGCAGCCTGTGTTGCGCAGTCTACGCGGTGCAACGTTCGTCCTGCAGTATACGGTGTGCGATGTATCACGTGATGTGGCGCAACGTGTGTGGTGCAACCGACGTGGTGCAGTGCGCGTGGTGAAATATACGGCGTGCAGATTACGTGGCGCAATCTACGCGGCGCAGTCTACGTTGTGCAATGCAGGCGGCAACGGGGCGGAAACAGCGAGCGCGGGGCCGCCGGGCCGCGAGCCAGGCCCAGACGACGGGCGGCGACGAGGCGGCGACGGCGTTGCACGGAACAGCCAAACAGCTAGCCAAGCCCAGACGAGAGGCGGCGACGGGGCGGCGACGGCGAGCACGAACCCGCCTTGCCGCAAGCCAGGAACTCCCTAAAACACAAGCAAGACCCCCTTTCAGTGCAAGCACGATTTGGGGAAGATGGCTGCGTGTATGGATGCGTATATACACACGTATAAATATATAGGTGTGTGTATGTATGTATGTATGTATGTATGTATGTGTATACATATGTATATATGTACATGTATATGTATATGTATATGTATATATATATATATATTATCATACGCACCTTTCCGAGGGAGTAGAGCTCAGAGGCGACTAGTGCGCACGCGTCCGCGATTTTTCTGGGCGTTTCGCTCGGGACATCCTCGACACTCTGAATACCGGTGGCACCCCTCACGCAAATCGCGACGTCAGGGTCCAAAAACTCATGGGAAATTCAACATTTTAACATCAAGCGTTCAAAAACACATGGTAATTTCAATAATTGTGACCCCGATTCTCAGTGAATGGCGGTTTCGCTTGAAAAATCCTTCCAACATCGAGCCCCAGACCCCGCCTCGGAGCCTCCTGGGGGCCTCCTGGAACCTCCTGGGGCCTCCTGGGCCTTCTGAACCTTCTGGCACCCCAGACCCCGCCTCGGAGCCTCCTGGGGGTGTCCTGAAACCTCCTGGGGCCTCCTGGGGCCTCCTGCGGCCTCCTGGAGCCTCTTGGGGCCTCCTGAAGCCTCCTGGGGTCTCCTGGGGCCTCCTGAGGCCGCCTGGGGCCTCCTGGGGCCTCCTGGGGCTTCAGAACTACATGCACACAGAGACACAAATCACGCCCAACACATCACACGCTAGACAAACATAACACACACACACACACACACACACACACACACACACACACACACACACACACACACACACACACACACACACACATACACACACAACACCTACAACACACAAAAGGCACGCACCACACGAAGCATACATCACAAACACACACACACACACACACACACGCACAACACTCACAACCCTGGGGCCGCCTGGAGCCTCTTCTGGTATCCAAGTCGGGCCTCCTAAGGCTTCCTGGGGGCCCTGGTACACACATCGCAAAGTGTGGCAACCCCACTTGCGCTCGAGTGCGACTTCGATGTTGCATGTCACTCCTGCTTCAAACGCCCCTTCAGCTTTTTGTATGAGCCTGGGCACACACGTGTGTATATACACACGTGTATGCGTGCATGCGTGCGCGCGCGTGCATGTGCGCGGCCGCCCCCCCCACACAAAAAAAACATGCATATGTATCAGCTTCTGTTTTCCTCAACATGTTTTATTCCTCCTCTTCCTCCTCCTCCTCCTCCTCCCCTCCTCCGCGCCCCCATCCCCCTGCTCTGCGCGCTCCTCCAGTTAGCGGCCTTGCCAATAGATTTCCCCCAAAAAAAAAACTTGCAAGGGGTTGCTTTCACAAAAAAGGACACCACCTGAAAACATGTACGCCCTTGATACGTTGAGCGGTGTTCGCTAGGGAACCACATGACAAAGAGATGCCCCTGATATGGTGCTTGGTTTTCGTCGGGGAACCGTATGAAAACACATGGATTCCTGAAACGTGCTGGTTTTCCGGAGAAGGGCACCACCTTCCAGCTTTGGCCCGAAGTCCACGCCCCCCAAGGGCAACGCGCCAAGC